GGCCGCGGCGCGGGGCGAGGGCACGGCGGCGGCGCCGGCGGCGCGGTGCAGCAGCAGCCGCAGCGTGATGGGGATGGTGTTGACGATGCGCCGGACGTTGGCGCCGTTCTCCGGCAGGTAGCGGCTCAAAACGTCGGAGGCGTCGTGGAGGCAGCGGAACGCCTCGTGGATCCACGCCACCGCCTCGGAATCCGCCTCCTTCCAGCTGGGCGCCTCCGGAACGCCGCCGCCGCCGCAGCCGCCGCCGCGGGTTTTGGCGACGTTGCCGGCGATGATGCGGTACATGAGGTCCTCGCGCGTCTGGATGGCGGCGGCCACGCTGCGCAGGCGGGAGCGGGCGCCCATCTCGGGGATGGAGAAGGGCAGCGTGACGGCGCGGTTCAGGTACAGGTAGCCGTTGTCCGCCAGCCCCTTCATGCAGCCCGTCTGCTCCAGGCACGGCACGATGACGCTGGGGTCCACGGCCAGCAGGAAGATGAAGGGCGCGTTGGCGTCCGACAGCAGCGTGGCCATGGCGTTGAACACTCCGGCCACTTTCTCCGGGTAGCAGAGGTCCAGGCTGGTGATCTCCAGCACCACGCGCAGCCGCCGGCGCTCGAAGACCTCCATGAAAGCCAAATAATCCACCAACACCTCCACCTCGTCGCGGATTTTGCTCATGAAGCCCAGCTGCCCGGCGAACCTGTCGCTGTTGGTCAGGCGCTCGATCTTCTTCTTCTCGCTGACCAGGAAGTTCTTGAGGATGGACAAGGCGCCCAGCACCAGCGAGGAGCCCGACAGCGACGCCACGGCGCTGCCCACCACCTTGAGCGCGTGGTGGTCCTTGATGCCCGGCACCAGCAGCGCCACCAGCAGGATGGCGATGCCCACGGCCAGCACCAGCAGCAGCCCCCAGAGCCGCAGGCAGGTCCCTTTCTTCAGCACCCACTCGCGCTGCGAGAAGCCCGAGGCGAAGCGCGGCCGCGAGCCCAGCACGTGGAAGACGCTGAGCGGCAAGGCGCCGAAGTGCTGCCGGACGTGGTGGCACAGCGTGGTCACCAGCCCCGCCCAGAGCTTGTCGCAGCCCGCGAACTCCCAGGCGCTGAAGCGGATGAAGATGAACTCCAGGTTCTTCCTGCGCAGGTGGCCCTCGGTCACCACGGGCTCGTAGAAGGCCAGGAGCCACAGGGCCTCCAGCAGGCCCCAGCCGTGGGGGCTGCGCGGCTTGCGGTGGCCCCGGCGCAGCTCGGCGGCTTCACGTTGCACCATCTCCTCCCGCATGAAGGCTGGCAACAAGAGCGGGGGTTGGGATTGGGGTTTGAGCTGGGGTTTGG